ACAAAAAATCCAGAGTCAAACTTTCGGTATCTACAAAATATTGTTGAGTAGGTATTGTTTTACTATGTTATTAGATCAATAAGAATTTTCCACATTGAACTAAATAAATAAACAAAAACTCAAAAACTATGCTATGTTTGATTCATCTGTTCCGAAAATCCCAATCTGGTAGGATACTACAAATTGTCTGGTCTTTGTGACTATAGTCCAATAGCCAGTACACTTATGCATTATCTGTATGATAAAATATGATGCCTTACTCAGGCTTCCATCATTTGGTCAGAAATATATCAATTCTCGATTTAAGTTTTGTCTTGTATCTTGGAATTATTTCCTCATTGTTAATCATTCTCCAGGCCGAAAAGTTCAGACTTTCTCAAATAAGCCATACCGCATCAGTCCCCACTGATATACCTTTAGTCAATTAGTGTGGATATGTTTATTCTTTGCCTGGCCAAATGCTCCTACTCATTCACTTCCTTCCAAAACACATATGGTGCTTTTCTATCTAATAATCCTTTTCCCACTGACATGTAATGACAGACTTTTGGTACCTCTGTCAAAAACAAAGATTCTTAAACTGTTTTTTGAAAACCTGACAAAAAGGATAGGTACATTCTCTGCAGGGGAAAAAAAAGCACACATGTTGCTGTAGAGTGAATATCTGTCCCCTTCCAAAATTCATATGTTGAAATCTTAACTCCCAAGATGATGATGGCATCAGAAGGCGGGGAATTTGGGAAGTGATTAGCACCCTGATCAGACAGACCTCAGAAAGCCCCCAGCCCCTTCCACCATGTGAGGATACAGTTAGTCTGCAGCTTGGAAGAGGGACTTCACTGGACCACGCTGGAATCCTGATCTTGGACTTTAGCCTTCAGAACTATGAGAAATAAATGTTTGTTGCTTATAAGCCACCCAGTTTATTGTATTTTGTTATAGCATTCCGAACAGAGGCATCACTAAATCAAGTGCTGCTTTTCCCTTTCCTTCTGCCATTTTTTCCTCCCCCAAATCATTGCTTTTCAAAATCTACCCCTTCAAATTCCACATACTTTCAAACTCCTGCCTATGATCCCTGCTTTAATCTACCAGGCATACTTTTAGGATTTCCAGACTCCCTAGGATGGCTTTGTCTAGATTTGGATCAACTCTAGTCCAATTCTAGGCCCCATCTTCTCTCTCCCATGATTCCAGCCCTCCTCTGCTTACTGCAAGGCCTTGATGTAGGAGGTGTTGAACTGTAGTGTGAGAGACACCAGGCTGAATTTTGCTGTTTCTGCTTTTTATCTTAGAACTAGAGGCCCAGTGCACAAAATTGTGCATGTGTAGGGTCCCTAGGCTTGGCTGTCGAAAAGGGCCGATCTGTGGGGTGACCAGCAGGGTAATCGGGAGCCCCCCTCTGGCACCCACCTTGGCTGGCCTGGGGCCTGTGGTCTGGGGCAGCTCCTGCATTGAACGTCTGCCCCCTGGTGGTCAGTGCATATCATAGCGACTGGTTGTTCCACTAGTCGTTCTGCTGTTTGGTTGATTTGCATTTGCTATTAGGCTTTTATTACATAGGATTCGCTGTCTCTAAATTATGCAGAATCCGTTGTTTTGCTACAGTTTGTTATATTAGGAAATAGGGACAAAGGCAGCCACCATTGTCATGAACTATCTGGAATTCCTCAGAGATAATTCTTCAACCAGTGAGGAGGATAGATTGGAGGAAATGCTAACAAAGGAAAGACTAAATAGAAGGCTATTTTAATAGTGTAAGTAAATATAATGAGGGCCATGTTTTATAGATGAAGACGATATGGTGGGTTCAGATGATATTAAAAATTTGGTGTCAAAAAGCACAGGGAGGGAAGGGTAACACTTAGGTTTCTGGTTTAGCCATTGAACATCATTACCATAGAATCATTCTGACAAAAAGAAGAGAATGGGGGCTGATTTGGGCAGATGGGAAGTGTATGTAGAGGGAATTTAATGAATTCCATTTCAGAACTAAGAGTTTAGGATGCCTAAGAAATATCCAGGAGGATTTAGAAATAGCACAAAAAATGTTGGAACTAAAATAGAAATCTGGGAGCCTACAGCATTAAGCTGAGAGGAGAAGCTGTGTTCATGTGTGAGGTTTTTCAAGAAATTGGGGTAGAAAAGAGAATAGAGGAAAGGATGTCGGAAAAAAACCTCAGGAGACACTTTCATTGATGGTACAGGCAGCGGAAGAGGAGCCAGTGGAAAGACCTAGAAAAGAGAAAGATGCAGGGAGGAAAAGTTTCAGAAGCCCATCTTGGAAATTGAAGGTAAAATCAGTTTCTTGGTGGGAATGTTGATCCATCTTATAAGTATTGAATAGAAAATAAAGGAGGAAGTGAAGGTATCAACATCATGTTGCTTAAAGACTGAAGATCTTTTGAATTTTTTAGCATTAGGAAGCCATTGGTGATGTTTGCCAAGAACATTTTTTATAGATTGGTGAGGGTGAAAGCAGATTACAGAGGGTCAAAGAATGGGTATGAGTTGAAGAATTATAGGCAGGGAATACAGACCTCTTATCTATAGTGCCTCACTCACTGTAGTCCTTAAAGAATAAAACAAGGACAGTAGTTAAAGTAATACACCTAATAATATTCTCAGAACATTGAGAACTTGTGGTCTGTGGCACTTTTGACTATATGTGTATACACCTTCTTTCCCATTTTATATGGAAAGTTCCTTTATGTAAGCTTGTGCATCTAAATCATGCTTGAATCATGTAATAGTGTGCACCTAGGATGAATTTAAGAATTTGTTGGCCAAATGGATGAACCAATGAAAGACTCAAAGAGCCCAACCCAACTCTGTTCAAATTCCCTGTTTCCAGGTGCCACTGCCTGTGGTAATGTTTAGCCTCCGATTTGAAACACCGAAGAGATGCCGAGTCTTAGCTTATTTTATGAGATGTGAATGATAGCTCCTGGCAGCCAGCGCAGAGGAGCTGTTAGGATGCACAGAAGATTCTAGCCCCCTGCTGAGATATGTAAATGGCCACTCTGACAGCCCTTCTCCAAAAGGGGCTTTCAAACCATAATGTGCTTCACCCTCTATCTGTCATGGCACCAGTAAAAAAACACTATTTCACGCGTAACTATCCACAGGCACTTGTTTAATTTTATTGCTGTTCTTTGCAGTGCTGCCAAGCAAATATCCTTTGAGCCTATTTTGGTTAATAACATGGTTCGAATTTATTGTTTAATTTCCAAGCCCATCTCAAAGCAAAAGTCCACTGTGGGCCTCCAGATCTTCTCCACATCAGCTCTGTTTTGAAAGGAAGGCTCGGATTGCTATAGATTTCAGAGAACACACTGCTGAGCATGAATATAAAGGCAACAGCATGTACACAGAGCCACAGAAAGGAAGCGAAAACAACCCAGCGCAACGGTGCCAGAGCTTAGTTTCTAAGAGGAAAGAACCAAAGGATGAATGTGGACCAAAATATCTGATGTAAGATTTCATAATCTATTTGATGTTCACCCCAGGTCTGGCTCTAGATGGGCCAATGGCTTATTTGAAAGCCAAATAAAGAAGCACAATGGGGACTTTTCTGCTAGACTTGTAGTCCAAATATCTAGCCGTGCTTAATTTCTCCAGCTAACTGGTGGCCATATCCTTGATATTTACATGAACTTGGCTTGAATTCCTCAAATACTCTCTGACGATTTAGGAAAAGATATGGTGGACAAGTTCACGTTTCTCCATTCATTTCTGCTTCATTCTCAATCTCCATTCCAATTTGTGCTTCCCGTGTATCGGAGGAATCCTTGGTTCTACACCCCACTGCCCCACTGAGTCACACCCAAATATCTTTGTTCCCCCAATTCCTCTAACCCAGGTAATATCTAATTCAGACTTAAGAATTTAGAGACAAGAGAGGGAGAAGTAGGTTTACTTAGCTGCGCAGCAGGACAAACAACTGGACATTGACAATAAACATCCATGGATTTAAGTCCTTGAACTTACCGAGGGAATTTGTGGTGGCCATTTTTTTTCTACTGGGGTTTTAGCCTTGCACCATATTGCTTCCCACCCGTCCCTTCTTCTCAGACCAAAATCACTCACCCGTATCTCCCACCCAAGGTTTCAGATAATTTCTGCTGCAGAACAGTTTAGCTAGCCCTCTGTTTTTTTGCAAACCATCTGCTCATGCCCAAAGGGTCTCATGCTCATATTTATGGCCAAACATGACTCTTCTCACCCTAGGAGCTCTGTGCCAACCCCTTAAAGTAATATAATTTTACCTCCCTCTGCTACTTTAAAATAAAGCTTCTATGCGTGGGCTCTCTGTTATGCAAATGCCGTACTTCTAACATTCTCACAGAAATGAAAAGAATAAAAAATTTAAGGATTGATTTTACTTATTTTGCTTTTGCACCCAAAGGATGTATCCTAATCCCCTCCTCTTAAACTAATCTATCTTTCAGAAGTCCTCCAAAATGGTTTAAAAAGGAAAAGTGGAAACATTTAGTTTTGAGCACCTTCCCTTTCCTTCAATCATCAAACCCCAACTTGGTTCACTATTTCTGTAGGTGCCGGAAGCCTGTCCATCCTTGCTGCTTGACACAGTTGCTGCAGGGAAGAAACATCTGCACAGCATATGTTTCAAGGGACCTGGAGTATATGGCATACTGTTCTTAATATGTTTGCTCCCCTTCTTGGCGGTATGTGTTTGAACCAAGGTCACCTCTCCCAGAAAGGTTGTTTCCCCAGGTAGGGATTTTTCCCTGAAGCTCGGGATGGAATAAAACCCCTTAACTAAGTGCCAGGTGGGTAGTTAATCCCTTTAACTACACATTCTTTACTCCCTGGAATGGAGGTAAGAAACGCCCTAACCTTTGGAATAGAAATTGACCGGATTAAAATCAACTGGTATAAATACAGATGTAGGTGGCTCAGCTTCTTAGAAGTGTGTGTGGGTCTGAGAAGGACAACACACAGGGATCCTACTCGCCTCTGTGTGCAACGCGGGAATCATGTCGAGTTTGTCGGTGAGAGACCCAGCCATGGATCGATCGCTGCGTTCAGTGTTCGTGGGGAACATTCCTTATGAGGCCACCGAGGAGCAGTTAAAGGGCATTTTTTCGGAGGTTGGTTCCGTTGTCAGTTTCCGGCTCGTATACGATAGAGAGACCGGGAAATCCAAGGGCTATGGCTTCTGCGAGTACCAAGACCAGGAGACGGCGCTCAGTGCCATGCGAAACCTGAATGGGCGCGAGCTCAGCGGCCGGGCGCTGCGGGTGGACAATGCTGCCAGTGAAAAGGACAAGGAGGAGTTGAAGAGCTTGGGGCCCGTGGCGCCCATCATTGACTCACCCTATGGGGACCCTATCGAGCCGGAGGACGCCCCTGAGTCAATTACCCGAGCAGTCGCTAGTCTCCCCCCGGAGCAGATGTTGGAGCTGATGAAGCAGATGAAGCTCTGTGTCCAAAACAGCCCCCAGGAAGCGCGAACAATGTTACTTCAGAACCCGCAACTGGCTTATGCGCTCTTGCAGGTGCAAGTAGCGATGAAAATCATAGACCGAGAGACTGCTCTGAAAATTCTCCATCCCAAGATACCCGTTACACCGCTGATCGCAGGCAAATCTCAGCGTGTGTCTGGCCCTGTCGCTGGCCCCGTCGCTGGCCCTAGCCATGGGCTCTGCCCAGGACCTAATGTGTTGCTGAACCAGCAAAACCCTCCAGCTCCTCAGCCCCAGCCTTTGGCTAGAAGACCTGTGAAAGACATCCCTCCTCTGATGCAGACACCTATCCAGGGTGGAATTCCAGCCCCGGGGCCCATGCCAGCTGCAGTTCCTGGGTCTGGTGCTTTAACTCCTGGTGGAGCTCCGCAGCCCCAACTTGGAATGCCAATGGTTGGTCCTGTGCCTTTGGAGCGGGGACAGATGCAGATGTCGGATCCCAGAGCTCCTATGCCACGTGGACCCATCACTGCTGGTGGACTACCTCGTCGAGGGTTGTTGGGAGATGCTCCAAATGACCTGCGTGGAGGGACTTTGCTTTCAGTCACTCACGCTGGAGAAGTGGAGCCCAGGGGCTATCTTGGGCCACCTCATCAGGGCCCCCCCATGCACCATGCCCCTGGTCATGACGGCCGTGGCCCTTCCTCACGTGAGATGAGGGGAGGGCCAATCGCTGATCCCAGAATGCGAATTGGAGAGCCCAGAGGACAGATGATAGATCAAAGGGTTCTACCTCTGGATGGTAGAGGTAGTAGAGACTCTCGAGGGATGGAGACCCGAGCCATGGAAACTGAGGTCTTGGAGGCACGAGTGATGGAGAGAAGAGGAAAGAAGACCTGTGCAATGGAAGCCAGAGGCTTGGATGGAAGAGGAATGGAGATATGGGGCCCTGGCCCCAGTTCAAAAGGCCCTATGACCAGTGGAATCCAGGGTCCTGGTTGCATTAATATGGGGGCAGGTGGTCCACAGGGACCCAGGCAGGTCCCAAGCATTTCAGGGGTGGGAAATCCTGGAGCTAGCATGCAGGGAGCAGGCATGCAAGGACCAGGTATGCAGGGAGGAGGCATGCAAGGGGCAGGCATGCAGGGAACAGGCGTACAGGGGGCAACTAAGCAAAGTGGAGGCCAGCCTAGCAGTTTTAGTCCAGGGCAGAGCCAAGGAACTCCACAGGATCAAGAAAAGGCAGCTTTGATCATGCAGGTTCTTCAACTGACTGCAGATCAAATTGCCATGCTGCCTCCTGAGCAAAGGCAGAGTATCCTGATCTTAAAGGAACAAATCCAGAAGTCTACTGGACGTTCTTGAAATACTTCATAGTAATCCCAGAAAGTTTTTTTTTTCCTTTTTCTTTTTCTCTTTTTTTCTTTTTAGCATGGAGAATGGGTGCAAAAAGCTGACGCCTGCATCCCCACAGTTGAATGATTAGGGCAGAACCTAATCTCTTTTGTTGTTCTTGTCTTCCCCGCCCCCTCCGTTTTCCTTTTTATTTTTAATGGGGAGGGGGAGGCATGGGTCTGTTCACTATAATTCACTGTAAATATACAAAAATAACTCTGAAAGGGATACTATACCAAATAAAATTACAAATAATATGCAGCAATACTATAAGTGTGTACAATATGTTAACTTCTTTTAAAAACAATATTAAATAAAACAATGTGAAATCTTTACAGAAGATGAGAAGATAACCTATTAAAAAGATAATTTACCAAGATAGTTTAAGAGTTTTGATTGTGTAAGAAAACAAGTTTACCTCCAAAATATAAGACCCATTTTTTTGGTAAGTCACTTAAAATACAAAAACCTATTTTGGGGGCAATAGAAAGTTGTAAGTGAAGCATTCTTTCAGTGTTTTGGAATTATTTCGAAATGTGAGAGTTAACAGGATAAATCTAAACTTGTGGTATTGGGATTGTTTTTTTCTAAACCTGTGCTACCTGAATATCCAAGAAGTCATCCGGTGTGATGTTTCATTTAGCTCACCTTTCAGAGGCCAGTGATATTCTGGCCTGGCTTGAAAATGATACTTTCCTGGGACGGTTCTAGGATTAACCAGGCTACTTGACTCTCCTCTGACGAGACTCAGTATATCTCTCCATACCTTCCTATGTCTCAGTAACCTTTGAGCCCTAAATCTAAATCTGAGTTATTCTCTCACATCCTTCCCTAAAATCAGTGTCTAGGGACCAGTTTATCTGAATGAATTATAGACCACATTGGGCTTTTCATAAATGGTAAAGGGCTTCCTTCATGCAGTAAAACTCTGCTTCTAGCTTTTATATGCAGATGCTTCCATCTGGTCAACCAGAAACAGGAATTTAAAATCTTAGTCTCAGCAATATTTAACATACCTTTTAGTTTTCTTATATCAAAATCTATTTGTGTATCATCATCTTATCAAAATAATCCAATCCCAGGTAGATAGGTAAAATCTTGTAGCCTGAATTCTCTGCTTAGTGGTTATTAATCATCGATTTTTATAAGGCATAAGGCCACTTAGTTCTAGTATAAGTACCACTGAGACATAGTTAAAAATCAGTAGAAAGGTGAAGCTTATCACATCTCCTTCAGAGCTACTACCTAATTTATTTTGAAGCCTTGAGAATGTGGTCATATAAAGTATAGCATCGACTACTAGTGAACAGAAGTATAAACACCCAAATAACCAGGTGATCTTACTCTGGAGAAAAACCAACAAAAACTAATACTAGTTACAGAGGGGGAAATGTCATTTAATACAAGGAGAGAACTGAGACTTGGAAATGAATTATTTTTCCTTTGCAAGGTGTATACATCTTAAATGGGTATAAAGTTTTCATCCATATGCTGTTTCCACTTACCCATTTTTTACTGTTGTTTATACTGTTACTTTTCCTGTGTATGCTATATGCTCCCCCTAGATTGGAGGGGATAACTCTACATGTGTGATATTTCTGTACACTAATTCACAGAGTTGGCTTGGTCACTTTGAAATTATAGTTCCTTTAAAGCTTTCTTTGAAGGACTAAATGAAAACCATTAAATGTTTTGTTATAATAAAATGTCTGCATTGTTTAATGAAGACTTAATAAAAAGAATGCACAATACCTGAAAAATAAATAAATAAATAAATACATACATACATACATACATACATACATACAGATGTAACAAGACAATAAAACACAGAACCTGGCTGGAGATCCTGGCGAGAACCTGGCTAGGCTGCTGATCAACTGAACACTGTCTCTGTGTCATTCCTTCTTTGCCGACTCTGTCCACACCTTTGGGAACCCCTGGACCTGCTGGGGTTGGACCCCAACACGGAAGGTTTGTTATATCCTTGTGATAGTTAATTTTATGTGTCAACTTGCCAAAGTCACAGGGTACCCATACTTTGGATCAAACATTATTCTGGGTGTGTCTGTGAGGGTATTTTTGAATGAGATTAACATTTGAGTCAGTAGACTGAGCAAGGCAGACTGCAGTAGTACATAGTGTAGTTGTACCATATTAGTCAGATGTGTGACCTTGTGTTGTCTTTACTTAAATAAGTTTTGGTTGAGGAGGTGTATATGGGCACCAATTTGAAAAAGGATGGACTTGTGATGACTAATTTTATGTGTCAACATTTTTAAAGATATTCACAACATTTAATTTCATTCATTTTAATGTAAGCAATTTTTTTATCAACCCAACATAAAAAATACTCAAGTATATTTTGCTTAGGATTTAAAAAAACAACAACACATTATTTCTTAAACAAAAGGTTTTCTGAAACACCTTTTAAACCTGCCCTACATTATACTCCACATAAGCTGGATTAAAATCTTAAGTATTGCTCAGTACTGGGAAAATTATGGTCTGGATCCCCACAAAATCCACACTGTATATAATGCATGATTTAAAAATTTGAAAAAGTGGGGTTCCCAGACATTTGGTGTCTAGGCATATCTGTGACTATGCTTTTTTATGAGATTAACATTTGTTAGATTCAATAGCCAGAGGAAGGCAGATTGCCCTCTCCAATGTGGATAGCCCTCATCCAAGCAATGAAAGACCTGAATAGAACAGAAAGGCTGAGAAAAGGGTACCACTCTGGCCTGACTGCTGAGATGGGACATTGGCTCACCTGGTTCTCTGGCCTTTGGACTTGGACTGGAATTAATACCAGCCACTAGAACAACCACATACACTGTTATAATTCTTTTTCAATTTTTCTCTCTACTCCTACCCATGTCGCTTTATTATAGATTATCATAAATTGAAAAGTCAGCCTCCCCAGAATGTCTACTTCCGCCTAACAATGTGAAAATCCCTACAGTATAACTGTGCAGGGTTTCGTCACTGCTTGATCTCCCCCAAGTAATGCATCATGAATTCTCTCTTTACAACATTAGCTCTTTGGATTGCGTTGCCCACTGCATTCTGTTTTTGAGCATTTGACTTACAATGATCCTGGATGTTTGAAAAAGGGAGTGGGATAGGGAAGAAAAGAGGGGAGAGGCAGTCCACATGAGACCATTCAAATAGGTGTCAGCAAAGTCTCTGAGCACAGGCATCACCTGGACAAGTTCGGGCAGTTTTTGATGGAACACTCATCCAGCATTGACAAGAACTGCTAATGAGGCTCCCCTGCACCAGGAACAAATTGAGCTTGCTCAAGTGGCACCGATGGCCTGTAAGCCTTGGCTTGTCTCCCACGCTGCCTCCTGGAACAGGAGACTGAGCGTGTTCAGCAGTCTCCTGGTGCTGACTATTATTTCTGAGGTAGCTGGCCAATTTGGAAGTCAAACACTGAACCTTGTCTCTTTCTCTTTGCATTCCTGCCACAACAGTCTGATTCTCCAGGCAACATGCCTGCTTCTGACTGAGTGGGGAAATGATCACATACAGTAAGTTTATGGTCAATGTTTTAATGTAATATCTCACCTCACAAAACATCTACATTCCTCAATGCATACATTCCCCAGTAAGCAGTGGACAGGACGTGACCAAACAAGTGAGAAGGAGCACATCTGAAGACTGGATGGTTGCCCCTTAGGTATGAATACTTAATGAGGTCTTTTAAAATTCAGAGAGGAGTAGAAAAATCTGAAACATTTTTTGGTTATTTCTGTTTCCTCTTCCACAAGCATGTTTTCTGCCCCTTTTCATTCTCTTTGGAAATATAGATAATTCCACAGATCACCTTAGATGACTTTTGCAACAAGGTCTACTTTATTATTATTATTTTTAACAGAGAGGGAGAGGGACAGAGAGTTAGAAACATCGATGAGAGAGAAACATCGATCAGCTGCCTCCTGCACACCTCCTACTGGGGATGTGCCCACAACCAAGGTACATGCCCTTGACCAGAATCGAACATGGGACCCTTGAGTCCACAGGCCAATGCTCTATCCACTGAGCCAAAGCAGTTAGGGCTACAAGGTCTACTTTAGAAAAAATTTTTATGATCTCTAGTAAATATTCAAAACAATCCATGTGAGCTAATCTAAAACCACTTATCTGGTTATTGACCTTCATCTTATCCCCAAGTGTCCAACAGAGCTTTGGTCATCATCTAGCAGGGAGGGATGCGTCTGTGGGGGCAGATAGGATAGAACTGAATAAAAGTGAAAAGAACCATGTGTGGGGAGAATAGGGAGGCTTGGAAGTGGTTTGCTGGTTGATACAGAAATCAACCATAACAAGAGCTAGCAATCTGCAATCTCACCTAGCTCTTTGGTATCCTGAAGATTGGGTGTTTTGGAGTTTTTATGTGTACATGACTCACTCAATATTAATTCAGCAACATTTTTCAGCAATTATTACAATGCCAGTCTCTGCTCTACTAGTAGATATTGGAATACACATTCTAGTATTTGTGCACACATATACAGTGACTCTACTATGCCAATACCTCTGTTCTATACTAACATGGAGCATAGCATCTTGTTGTATGGGGAAAATTGCCCTCTAGGACTCAGCAATCCTGGGTTTTACTTCATAAACTTCTCTTTAAGCAGGTCTGTAGTCTATTCAGTGCTAATGTCTCAGTTTCCTTTTGTATTTATGTGGACATTAGTTCAGCAGCCTAACACTTGTAAAGAGTAAACAAACCACAATGCATAAAAATTCTCAATAAAGAACAGGCTCAGCCCTAACCAGTTTGGCTCAGTGGATAGAGCGTTGGCCTGCAGACTGAAAGGTCCCAGGTTCGATTCCAGTCAAGGGCATATACCTTGGTTGTGGGCACATCCCCAGTAGGGGGTGTGCAGGAGGCAGCTGATCGATGTTTCTCTCTCATCGATGTTTCTAACTCTCTATCCCTCTTCCTTCCTCTCTGTAAAAAATAAAATAAATCAATAAAATATATTTTTAAAAAAAGAACAGACTCAAATAAAAATTTAATAAAGTATCAAGTGCCCATCAATAGATGAATGGATAAAAAAGAAGTGGTACATTTATACAACAGAATATT